TTGTTGTGATGATGATGAGAATAGAGGAGATGATGAATGGAGGAGACAATGAGAATTAAGAAAAGAAAAAGAGAAGACGGTGTGTATATTATATGTATTGGGTGCAATTTTCTAGAGTTTGGTAATTGGATAGTGAAATAATATATTATACAATAAAAAAATGATCCACTAATGACTCTTATTTTTTGATATATTAATATTTTTAAAATAAATATGTAAAATTATATAATTATATATAATATAATATAAAAATTATAAAATTTAAATAATATGGTCGGAGTCGGGGAATCTACGGGGCAAAGGGTACTTTCCCGATCCCCACTCCAAAGTGTCATTGGGGGGAATTTTTCCCTCCATCTCTGTTCCCGCGGGGAAAAATCTCCCCAACTTCGAAGCTTCGAACAAATAATTGTCACGGAGATCCCGTTAACATATGCAAATTGACATCTCTAGTCAAAATATAGACATTGACTTTGAAGAGATTTTTTCAACTATGGTAAAGATGTCATCAATTTAGGTAGTGTTTCTGCAAGTTTGAATCTAGACGGGGAGTAACTAGATGTGAAAGTTGCATTTCTTCATGGAGATTTAGAATAAAAAATTAATATGGAGCAGCCAAATGGATTCAAAGTCAAAGGAAAATAAGATTTAATATTGTCCGATGAAGAAAAGTCTATATGGAATTAAGAAAACATCACTTCAAGGTACAAGAAGTTTGATTCTTTTATGATTAAGCATGGATACTGATTGGCTACTTCTAATCATTGTGTATTTTTGAATATATTTATTGATGGTGTGTTCATCATATTGCTTTTGTATATTGACAATATGTTGATCGAAGGACAAAATGATGACAATGATTAGATATGATGACCAAATCCTTATCTAAAGTCAGGTACAAATTTTGCAGAAGAGGTGTTGAACTGTTGGAGCCTTTTAAATCAGAAGTGGAAAATTGATGGATTTTCCTTTTTAGGATGAGAGAAAAAGAAAGATAGATGAATATAAAATAAACAAATAATGAAAAAGGAAATAAGATACAAGATAGGTTTAAGAAAACTAGTAGAATAAAAATAGGAGAAAAATTCTCTCTCTTTCTCTTTTTTATTTTAAATAAGAGTTATATATTGAAGAAAAAAATACACAAAAATGTGAGAGGATTAGGTCAAAATCTACTAAGAAGAGATGAATCTAAAAAAAGGAAAATCTAATCTATTTTAAAAAAAAAATCATATTCCTAATTTTCAATGGGATGGAATAAAAAATGGTTAGAGAATTAATTGTGAGGCTTAAGTTAGCAAAAAAAAATTTGGACAACTAGTCCCCTCTTTGTAGATGTGAGATAAAAAAAAGATCATATTAGTGATAATGTCTATACAAGTCTCATTAAAATTTGACCTTTTATTAAATACTTATATTGTATATCTTTTACAATAAATTAATAAGTTTAAATTATTGAATAGTTAAGAAACTAATAATTTAATTTAAAATAAAATAAAATATGAAAATAAAAATAATTATTTACGTAAATAAAACTTAAAATACTTTTTATAGCATGTGGTCTTTTTATCTAAATATTTTTATAAAAAATAAAAAAAAACTTCTCAATTTATAACATAATTACCTGATCTAACGTCAATGTAATATAAATTTAACCGTAAGTCTCTTGTCAATCTATCTAATAAATTTGAGATATTGAGTTCAATTCTAACTAATTACATAAAAAAATGAAATATACTTAAGAATAGTTATAAGCTACTGTATTTAAAATGTGACGGTAGCTAGAATTAGGGTATTACTTTATCGCAAAAAAAAAAAAAGTAAAAAGTAAAAAAGAACAAAGAACAAAGACAGTAGTAAAATGTAAAATCAATAAAAAAGAAGATAAAGTCACAGAATCAAAAGTTGAATCATAAACCTTAAATTAAGCCAAAAAATAAATAAATTAAACAAATCAAAAGTTTGGCAAAGCTTGACTCCAAACTTGAATGAGTCAGAGTCGGTGACCCATATATAAGACAACTTAGCAGTTTTAAAGATCATTAAAATATATTGGTGGTGAAAAATATTTAAAAAAAACCATTAAAATATTTTTACTTAAGAAAAATAAAATATTTTCATTCATTCAAATGGTTAAAATATATCAATTAAAAACCAAAAAAAAAAATTACAGACAAATTTACAAACCCTATTCTTTAATTTTTAAATAATTAGCTAGTCTAACTTTAATATTTTATTGTATACTACCTCCTTAAACATTTCCTGATAAAATCCGAACTAATCCACACACAATTATATGTATTATTCTATAATAATTGAGATTTATTGAAAGAGTTAATCTCTTATAATATACTACCTTCAAATTTATTATATGCTAATTAAGAAAATTAAATTATAAGAAATTACTATTAAATAATTATTATTATCCTTGAAGGAAAAGTGTAGAATAAAAACTTTAAACTCATCTTATAAAATCTAGTTAATCGCCACTAAATCAACTCACAGTTGATTAAAATTTTACCTTTGATCACTAAGACCACCTCTAACAGTGGTTTTTTAGATTGGTTTGCCAGTTTGGTATTGAAATTGTCAACAAAAAAGTTGTTCCGGTTAGTGAACGGTACAAATATAAGCAACTGTTTTTCATATTTTTTTATTATTAAAATAATCAATTAACCGTTGTGCAACGACTTTATTTTTTTATTTTATTTTTAAACTTTTTTTATTTATTATAAATATAGGTTTGTTGGAAAATTGTATACCAATCTATTTTCTCTCACTTTTATTTACTTTTTAATTTCAAATTTCTCTCTCACAATTTCATCATTTTATTCATAAATTTTTAATTTTTTTCCAACAATTTCTTCTCATTATCATTTTAAATTTTATGTTTAATTTTAATTTTATTTATTTTATATTAATTTAAATTTAAATAATTTAAATTATTATTTTAAATCAAATAAAATTTAGTATGAATAAAATATTAATATACAAAATAAAATTGTGGGATCCAATATAAGTTTTTTAAAATTGCACCATTTGAGTGAAAAATAGAATGAGTTGCTTCAAGATGATATGGCTTAATGGGTCACACAAAGAATTCAAATATGAGTAGTACCATTGGAGATGCTCTAAGTAAGTTGTCCTCACAATTAAACCACTAAATTATAATACTGAAGCTATTATATTATTATTAAATTATTAATTAATATAATTTTTAATTATATTTTAATATGCTTCTTTTAAAAAAAAATTATTAAAGAATAACAGTTTTATAAGTTCTTTAGTAATTTCTTTTTTCATACAATAATTAAATTCATATCGATAAAGTACACAATTTAATCATTATTATTGGTAAAGTACACATTTTAATTATTATTATAAAAAAGTATTTTTAATTACATTAATTATTTAATTATTGATATTTAATCTATTACTATGATTAATTTTAGAGGTGGAAAAATAGGTCAGGTCTGCCGAGTCGGTTCGTTTGATCTATCATTTTTAGTGGATTAGATTGAGATTTTCGACTCGATACCTTAAGTTGGTTCGCCCCGCATAACTCGTTTAAAAAATGGACTTAGGCGAGACGAAACAGATTTTATTCACGGACTTTTTATTAACACATTTTAATTTTTTCACTTAGAATTAAAATAATTTTAAATATAAAACAATACTCTTCTCTTATAATTATGTTGAATGCAATATATTCTAAATTATTATACAAACAAGTTGAATTATAATTGTGACGTTCTTTCTATAACTTTATAATATACTCCATCCGGTCTCATTTATAAGAAAAAATTAACTTTTTATATACATTGAATAAGTAATGTATTTGGACAATATATTGTCCAAATACATTACTTATTTAATGTATCTAAAAAGTTAATTTTTTCTTATAAATGAGACCGGGGGGAGTATGTGTTAACTGACAAAAGATGAAATAAAAAAACAATTGTATGACATGCAGAATAATTAAGTTATCAATACATTAAGCTCACATTTTTTCTTTAGAAATAAATATTGATTTTAAGAAAATGAATGATTTGATTTGTATATACGTGTGACAAATTTAAGATTTTATTATTAAAAAATCAGTCAATATAAGAGTCTATATGATATAAACAGTGAAAATGCCAGATGTTGATATTTTATTCAATGTAATTATTATTATTGTTTTTCTTGTATAAATTCATAATTGAGTTCTTTTAGTATTTAATTTTTAAATAGGATTATGATGAAATACATTATTTATTTATTTTGATATTTTTTTATTGTAGTTGAGTTTATTTTGTTATTTTTTATTATAATTGGTCTTTAATTAATTTTATTTTATTTTGAACTGTTTGGACTTAACACACTAAAATTCTATTATGCGTTGTTAAAAAAAAGTTTCGTTGACCTCTTTGATAATAATTATATTTTATATAAATTATATAGTAAACCAAATTATAAAATAAAATAATAAAAAATTAATAGATTAATCTATCAACCCGCCAATTTATTAATAAATAAGACGAACTTGATTTTTGAGTTCGAACACGTAAATTGACCTATTCTAACTTATTTTTAATCAAACTTAAAATGGATTTAAATATGAAGGAACACCTCCTTTGTCACTCCTATAAATCTAGTTTATATTAGTTACATAAGTAATTCTATAAAATTCAATGTGATTAGAAAGTGACTTATAATAAAATTTAGAAGAAAAAAAAGTAATTGAATAAGGCTATTCTAAACTAACACGTTAAGTCTTAAAAATATAATTATTATTTTAATGTTCAAAATGAACCAAATAAGTGTCTTTAATTTAGATGTCCTTAAAGGGGAAAGGGCATTATTAGAATTTCCCCACCGAACTGTGATTCTTTTCTCATCTATATAACACAAAGCATTGCTGGTATCTCTCTCCCCCCTCTCTCTCTCTCTCTCTAAAAAACCATAGAACAAGAAATTAGCAACGGTTTTGATTATAGTGTGAGTAGAAAGTAGAAAGCATGGGTTTTCCCGTCGGGTACACAGAGCTCTTGTTCCCAAAACTGGTCCTCCACCTTCTCTCCGTCTTCACCTTCATCCGAAAACTCATCTCCCTCATCTTCTCCCATCTAGGCCTCCCCGATTTCATCGAACCCGACATTCCATGGCCCGAGACCTCAACCCGAACACCCGAATTCGAATCCGTTTCCGCTCTCCTCATTCGCGAAATTCTCCCGGTTGTCAAGTTCAACGAGCTACTGGACCTGGACCTGGACCCACCTGAAAGCTGCGCCGTCTGTCTCACTGAGTTCGACGAAAACGATGAGATCAGACGGTTAGCGAACTGCAGACACATTTTCCATCGAGGTTGTTTGGACCGTTGGATGGGATATGATCAGAGGACGTGTCCTTTGTGTAGAACTTCCTTTATACCTGATGATATGCAGACTGCTTTCAATGAGAGACTCTGGGCGGCTTCTGGGATTCCTGAATTTCACTCTGATGTTTCTCTTTTCTAGATTCTTTCAAAACATAAGATCAACAAACATCTTTAATTTTGTTCTTGTTTAGGGTTTTTTTTAAGGTTCGTTTTTTTTTTGTTTATTTGTATATAGATAGAACTCATGAAAAAAAAATGAGATTTTTATATACTCCCTCTGTCCTATATTTTTATATACTTTTCTAATTTTAATATTAATTAATTTTTATCAATTCTATTTCTAATTAATTATATCTATATTAATTTCACAATATAAAAATAACTAATCATTATTAAAAATAATTTTATAAATATATTATATTTATTCTTTCATTTATTTATTTTTTTAATCTATGTGTTACAATCTTAAAAAAAAAAATATTTTGGGAACGGAGGGAATAGTTGAATTTTGTAAGATTTTGGATCTGGGTGTTGTTGTTCTTGTTAAGGGTTTTATTTTAACCTGTTAATTCTGACTATGTTTCTTTTTTTTCTTACTAAATGAGTGAGTGATTTGATTTGTAGAGTTAGAATAATACTCCTAATTTGTTATTGATGTGTGGTGTTGGTTCAATGGCCATTAATTAGGGGCAATCTCAATTAGGATCTGAATTGGTTGGCGTTTTTGAGTGACTAATCTAGAAGTTATGTAGTAATTAGGAGTGACAAATGGATATGTTTATTTTATTTAAATTTGTTTTGTAAAAGTCTGTAAAATAATAAAGCGAGACAAATATAATTGAAGATGAAGATCTAAAACTTACGTTCACGAAAAAAATGAACGGGAAAAGTATGCGGGACACTGCATCTTCTAAGCATAAAATGTAAAATTTTATATTAATGTTTGTGTCTGAAAAAATCTGCAAAAAAAAAAAATATATAATAGGACAATCACGTTAAAGAATAAAGACCTAAACTTTTAATTTATCTTAAATTAAAGTGCAGTAAAACAAATATGTCCAACGAATTGAATCCGTTTTATCACCCTTTTTATAAATAATATACTTATCGTTTCATACCTTTACGTAAATTTCTAGAATATATTACTATACATAAAAAATTACATTTCACCACTTTTTAAAATCAATATAAAATAAGTATTGGACAAATTAGGAGTCATAAATAAAAAGAAGAGTGAATAAATTGAGTTGTGTTTGGTTTGAGGTAACGTTAACGTAGGAAAATGGATAAGTAATTATAGGTAGGATATGCTCCAATAGGGAATCAGGGAATCAGATTCAGAGGAGAGTGGAGTGACGTTGCTTCAATTGCAATTTGCAACTACTTAAGGTATCTTTAGGGTATTTTTGGATGTGAAAAGAAAGTGAAAAAGAGAGAAATAGATAAGAAGGAATATGAGAAGTGAAAAAGAAGTGAGAAATGAAGTAGATTTATAATTATTTTTAAAAGTATAAAAATAAATTTAAAAACTAATACACAAATTTTTATCATTTAAAATACATTTTAACAGCTCTTTAAATATTTTTTTAGTTAATTATTTTACTATTTCATTTTAAAAATCAATTGACTTTATTTGTATTTTTTATCAAAATTAATTTAATTAATTTAATATGATTTTAGTTAATTTATTAATTCAAATAAATAAATTGTATGACATAAATATTTATTTCAACGATACTCCAAACAGAAAAAATTGGTATTTCTCGCTTTTTTCTCTCGTTCCTATCTCTCTCACCTATATTTCTCTCCAACCAAACACATTGTTAATGTTGATGGATCAAATTTAATGAAAATACTCTTCTCCAATGCTACATCAAGATATTAATTCTATTGCTTAAATATTTTATGGGAAATGCTGATGAGTATTTTTAAAATATTTTTTGAAATTTTAAAATAGTAAATTTTTCTTGAAAATGTATTATTAATGCTTTCTTTGTGACACCCGTAAAATTATTTAGAGATTGTTTAAATGAATATGGTAATTTAAATCTAGAAAATTTTAGTCAAAAGCAATATTTTACATTAAAAACTTTTATTTTTTAATAAAAAAATTTGAATTGAAATATGAAACTTTTAGAATATGTTTGAATTGATGGAATATGATGGAATGAAACAGAATGGAATGGAATAGAGTTATATTCTATCGTTTGGATTGATTAGAAAAGGATAAAATGGAGTTGTACCGGATGTAATACATTTTATTCTATTCCATTATTTTTTGTACTCTCCAATTTGAGTAGAATGACAAAGTGATCATGACTTACACAAACAATAAAATAATATTTTTATTTCACTTTGCTTCGTTCTGCTCTGTTTCATCTCACTCCGTTTCGTTCTGCTCTGTTCTTTTTTAAATATCTAAATATAGCCTTAGTGATTAAATTTTTAAATTAATGTAAAAACTTTTATTTTACAGAGAAATTGTAATATTTTATATTAAAAAAATTCAAACTACTCAATTTTTAAAGGCTGCTTTATAAATTTTATGTGGATTTTATTGCAATATTTATTTTTATATTTATTGAATAAAGAATCTCTTATCTGTATTTATAAAAAAAAAAAATTCATTGACTTTGTTTGAATATCAAATGAAAAAAGTGAAATGAAAAAATTAGAATAAAACAGAATGAGTCTTACTTTATTATTTAGGTATTATGAAATAAGACCAATTTTTTTCGTTAGAGAGAAAAAAAATATATTAAGTGATAAAATGAAATAAAACTTATATTATTTTATTATACTCCGTTACATTCGATTTTAATTGATCTAATCAATAAAATCTCATTTCATACTATTAGATTCCACTCAATTCCGACAAATTTCATAAATCCAAATATATCATAAATTTTATAATCAATTTATAAGAATTATATATAATTTAAATACATTTATTATTCAATATATAAAAAATAATTAATTTCTTATATAAAACGAGAGAAGTTTATTTAATCTATTACATAAATCAAATAAATGTATTATTTAATAACTTTTAAAAAAATAAATGATCTCTAGTAAAAATGACGAAAAAAGATATAAGAAAAAAAGTACATAAATTGTTGTAACACATGTAAGGAAATTTCACAAATTTCTATTGCTTCATCATAAATTATTTTAGAACGTTCATACTTAACTCTTCTCCTAATACATAAATGATTAAAATTGTGTCTTCGAATTTTATCTCGTTCGAAATATTTACTTCATCAATAATGACTACTGCAACTCCGTCAACAATTTTAGGTGTTATAAATATGATTGCCATACCGTTATCGGGATTTCGATTGCCACTGTTTACATCCATCCAAAGCTTTCTCGACTCTTTATTTTCCTTTGTTGATTTTAGGGTTTTTGAATCATTGATTCATTTCTCCTACGTATGTTATTCAGATGAATCTTCCATTCCTTTTTCATGAGATTCCAGAAATTTGTTTGGTGATTCTTCATCTCTCTTGTGAGTTTCGATCTCCTTGTTATTTGATGTCGACTGCGCTGACATTGTTAGTGCACAAGAATCAATGATGAGCAAAGAATAAATTTAAGAGAGCAAAGAGAATGACATGTGTAAAATTTGCAGGAGGAATAATTTTTGTTGTGTTATGATATTTACAACTAGTCTATTTATACATAAAGAAAAGAAATGTCACATAGACCCTAATAGAATAGACTTAATGGCTAAGTTATCAAAATAATTAAAAATACTAAAATACTCTTTAGTACCATTCCTTAATTTAGGATTTTTAATTAAAACTAACTACACCAATTTCATTCCTTAAGCGAAGAAATTAATCTGTCTTGATTGCCTTTGTCATGATATCTGTCAGCTCTTATTGGGGGTTATAGTGCACAACTTCTAATACTCCATTTTGGACTTTACTTTTGAGAAAATGATAATTTATCTCAATATGCTTGATTCTCCCATGTATTACTGGGTTCTTAGCAAGATTGATTGCATACTTGTTATCAATCATCAACTTCAGAGGCTTATCTATGTTGATCTTCAGATCATGCAGTAAATTCAGAAGCCACATAGTTTGACATGCAACTACAACACATGTAATGTTCTCAGCTTCACACATTGATAGAGCAACAACAAATTTCTTCTTGGAACACCAAGAAATAGGATCTCCCAGAAACTTAAACAAGTATCCATAAGTGCTTCCTTTATCAACTTTATCTCCACACCAATCAGAATCAGAATAACTCATCAAATCTGAATTTGTTTTTCTTCCAGAAGGGAATAGTACTCAAAACTTCAGAGTTCCCTTGATATACCTCAGAATCCTGACAGCAACTTGGTAATGGGACCACTTAAGTTTAATCATGAACCTACTAACCAATCCAACCGCATAACAAATAACAGGTATGGTATTACACAGATACCTCAAAGAACCTATTAACTATTTGAACATTGTAACATCTATGTCTTCACCCTCTGAGTCAGAATCCAATTTATGGTTGGTTTCTGACAGTGTAACAATAACCTTACAATTCTCCAGCTTGAATTTCTTCAGAAGATCAAGTTCATACTTCAGCTGATGCAAAACTATACCTTATTCAGAATATAATACATTCATCCCTAGAAAGTAAATCAGCTTTCCTAGGTCTGTCATTTCAAACTCATTCATCAGAGTCTTCTTGAACTTGACAACTTCTTCAGAACAACTTCCCATCAGCAATATGCCATCAACATAAAGACATACCAGAATCATATTACTTTCAGAATATTGAACATATACGCCATACTCCATCTCACACTTCTGAAAACCTTGTTTCTTGAATAATGAATTAATCTTCAAATTCCAATCTCTGGGCACAGAGCTTTATGTAATTTGTACACCATCCCTACCTGATTTTCCCCCCACAAATTCATAAGGTTGTGACACGTATACCTCTTCTTGTAATGGACCATTCAAAAATACAGACTTCACATCCAGATGCATCGGAGGCTAATTTTTATTTGTAGCTAAAACAATCACCAGTCTGATTGTTTCATGTCTCGCTACAGGCGTAAATACCTCAAAGTAATCTATTCCAGGTTTCTGAAGAAAACTTCTAGCCACTAGCCTTGCTTTGTGCTTGCCA